TGCCATTAAAATTTCACGTCGAAAAGTCTCGTCTCTCCCCCCTCCCTTGATATATACACTAACTACACAGAGCTCTCGAGCAAGGATATATTATTCGTGGCCGGTTGGCACGACGTGTTTAACTACCCCCGGGTGTGCGTGGATCAGCCGGCTAGATGAAGCGGAGCCAGGCCGAGATAAAACACACTGTAAACGGCCGGCCGGTCGGATATTTGGTTACAGGGAGGCGGCGGCACGTGCGCCGGAGCTCCGGGCCAGGTGGTGGAGCTCGTGCCGTTGAAGAAACAGAAGAGGCAACAGCAGCAGCAACAGCGGCAGCGGCAGCGGCGGCGGCGGCAGCAGCAGCAGCAGCAGCAGCAGCGGGGGTGGGAGGCTACGCGGACGGTCTGGACGAAGGAAGGGGAGGATGCGAAGCGGTAGGAGCGAGCGTGTTCGAGGAGGTTAGTTGCTCACCGGTGGCGGATGGCGAGGTCTGCTGCGGCGACAGCAGTACCACCACCAACTACAGCCACCGTCGTCATCACCTGCATCATATACATCGTCGCTATAGTCATCGTCACCAGCAACAGCAACAACAACAACAACAACAACACCAGCAACTACACCATCAACAACAACTACAGCCTCATCGATGTCACCAACGGAGGGACAGCGTGGCTAGCAACGAGCTCGTCGTCGACGAGGAAGCCGACGATGAGGCTACGTGCCAGGATCAGGCTACCGCTGCACCACCTCATCGGGACATCCGTCACGAGCTCCATCACCTTCAACACCATCACCATCATTTGCATCACCATCATCACCACCATCTCCACCATCACCACCACCATCATCACCATCTGCATCATATCCATCAGCGGCTGCGGGACGACAGATCGCCGTGCGATCGGGACGAAAGCGTCGATCGGATCGTCCGGACGAACAGCGATCGTCACGCGGATGGTACCACCGCCACCGATAACCCTGCCACCGTCACTGCCATGACGAGAGGATGCTGGATCCCGCCCTACCTCGCTACTCTACTCATCCTCTCTTACACCCTCTTCGGTATAGCAGGTTAGTGATTTGTAAATTTTATTTTTCCTTTTTTTTTCTTTTTTTTTGGATGTGTGTGTGT